GCCCCGCCGATGTTTAAATCCTTGTGTTCGCATGAGACGGTTTCTTTCTCTTTCTCTAGCCACCTTAAATCCGAAGTACGAAGTCTTTTGGGTTTTATAACTGCTGAATCTCCAGTTGACACTGATGATTGTTGTTTGGATCTTTCTGGATGCCATAAGTTTAATTATGTAAAGTGCTGCGAGAAAAGCCTATACATCTAAACATCTCGTCACGCGCAGTATAGCCGGCTAGCCGAAACTCCTTCTTTATGTGTACGGGTGTGACGTAATGACGCAAAGACATGCTCGAATTTCCCGCAGAAACCCACCAGTACCACTGGAATTAAAATCATTATTACAAGCTAACCGTTTTGAATCTAGCTATGGCAAGCAGATAGTTTTGACCACTTGCAGAATAAGTTTTTTTTAATATAATTATTTTGGATTATTTTTAACTTAAAAAAGTTACGGACTGGAGCTTTAATACAATTAATTTTGTTGACAGAAACTTTCCTTAAGCCTTTATCTGACCGAGTTCTCTTGTGCTGGAAGTTACTCACAAATCTTATGATAGTTTGATAATTTCCATTCAGTTTTCACACAAAATTAGTTGTTTTCATGCCTTTTGCATAACATTGCACCATTTCATGCTTCTTATCTTCAGAAAGATCTTTCTTCCTCCCCATATTGGATGAGAACTGTGACTTGCTTAATAATGTGGAACCTCTTTAAGTAGGGTTTCCATTTACCTAAGTAGACCTAATATTGATACCAGTTATCTAAAAAGTAGTGCTGGGCAAGTTAACGCGTTATTATCGCGTTAACGCATTTATTAATTAATGCCGACAATTTTTTTATCGCGCGTTAACGCAGTTTTTTTTTTTATTATTTTGAAAGTCCGTTGCTCACTGGCTCTGAATACAAATAGGCCTACAGTCAAACCATGATCACAGGAGGGGTGGGATGTTGGTCAGCCAGCAAAAAACCCACCCAAACAAGCAATGGAGCGGCTTTGGCAGGTTCTCTCAGGTGAACAGAAAGGGAGACAGCGCTCCGCGAGTGAATGACAGGCGCTCTATGGATAGTAACCATGGCAACGGCTTCTGTGCGCTACGCAGCTGCAGCCTTTTTAACTTAAATTAAAATTATACATAACTTTACCTGATATAGGCCTGGGTTTAGTTTAGCGGGGATGCTCTGCCATGTGAATTCCCTCCTGTTGATGTCCTGATAACTATTTAGATTCTGGAAACTCACAAACAGCGAGCCGAGGATCAGTCTCTCTTCCAATGATTTGTGCTGCGCGTCGTGTACAAAAAGTTAGACAATTCAACTTCGGCAACGCGCGGGCGCGTGCGTGAGGCGAGCATGATTGCAACAGTTTCACAGGAACGCACCCGCTTGTCGCTGCACCTGTGCTCGACCACTTCACCTCACTCTAGGCTGATTTATACTTCTGCGTCAGACCGCCGGAGCCTCCACGCTATAGACTACGCGTTGGTTTTCATTTATATATCTGCGTCGTTGTCCGCGTTGACGCGCAATTACACATGCAGAGGGAGAGTGTGAAACCCGGGGAGCGGTTCTAGCAATCACAGCGCTTGCGGTACGCGTGCATCTCTCATTTTTGGAGAGATGCACGTCAGGGTACGCGCGCTACGCAGCTGCGGCGTGAGTTCGACGCAGAAGTATAAATTGGGCTTTACCTCTGTTTAATGTAATCTTACGTGGGAAACCATGGCATGCCATGACCAAACCTAAGCTGCTATCAGAGAAGTAACGTTGGTCGACTTATATCTGTAGTGATCATGACCCTTTGACTACATAGACTGTTTCTGCTGCTACCTGATACAAGATACCTGTTCAGAAAAAAAAAACCCAATAAGACTCGTTTTAACAAGCTAGATAAAAGATAATGCCCTGGCAGTGGCAAATAGCTTTGTTTAAATATTTTATTTGATTACGTTAATGTTTAAGTTGAGATTTACAAGAAATATTTTATTGATACTGTGTAAAGGGAATACTGCTGGTATAAAAGCACCTTATTTGTTTAAAGTTTTTGCAAACCACATGTTATTGCACTTTTGTAGCAGTACATTTAAATCAAAAGTGCACAATACACTACTTTAGAATTCATTATTCAATTTTGCGCGTAACAATGCGATTAATCGCGATTAATCGCAAGAAAATCATGCGATTAATCGCGATTAAATTTTTTAATCGTTGCCCAGCACTACTAAAAAGATATGGAGAAATAAAACAAACTGTTCCTTTAAAAAACTTAAATCTGATTGTTTATTGTGCTGAAATCTAGGGCTGCACGATTAATCGAAATGAAACCGCACGCGATTTGGCAAAGGCTGCGATTATTTTATGCGCAGCTTGTCAGTGCAGCACGGCTGATAGTAAATGCTGCTCCATCTGAAAGCCAGAGGGCGTCTCTACGCCGAAGAAGTAGACAACACACGTCATTCCAGGAAATCCCTATGGGCATCATACTATCGCTGCAGCTGAATAAACAGAAGATTTAAATGCTTTGATTGATTTATAAATAAATAATTTATAAATAATTTACAGATATATAAATATGTATAGCCTATATTATGTATTTACATATATAAACATATATATATATATATATACACACATACATACATACTGAAGGGGATGGATTCTGGAATCCACTGCTGCTTAAAATGTAATGAGTGATTATAATCAAGGTATTAATCAATATTTTTTCTTCTAAACATCACATGAGTTGAATGACTTTTCTAGGCTTGTGAGATTTTACTTTGTTATAGAAGTTACCAGTGTGATACTGAAATGTTCTTTTCATGTATTCTCTAATGTCTGTACATGATATCTGAATGCAGCTTGCTTATTTAGCCCGGCTTCCAGAAATTAAATATGGAAAGATGTTTTGTTTGAGAAAGGTCTTCAACATGTGTCAATACATCCATCTGCTTTTCTGGGGTACCCTGACAACTAGGTCACAAGGGTCATTGGAACCAATAGTTTGAGTGACCATTTCTTAGTTAAAGCTTTACTTTACTGCGTTAGACTAAAGTGGCCTTTTCTTGAGAACTGTGTTATATTAAAGTGTCCTCTCCTCGAGAGAAAGAACATATTATCTTGATGTTTTGAGAATACTCTCCTGTTTATAGTTAGAGCCTGGCCAAATCCAACCTTGGAAAAACTGTGTCGGTGTGTGTGTTAGTCTTTTTGGCAACAGGTTAAGGAACCACTGGCATTATTGGAGATTGACTGAGGAGTTGTTCGGAACAGGCTGGCGCCCAGTAGGGTTGGGCGATGTCTACCAATTTAGCATCAGACGATGTCTACAGTGAAACATCGCGATGGACGATGACATCGGGAGGGGGGGGGGGGTATTTTCGTAATATTCTCATTTTCCACTAGATATTTTCCTCTATATCTCATCAGCAATTTCGATTTCGGCAGCTCTGCAGCAGCTGAGCACTAAGAGCGAATGTACAGTGACGTGACATCACTGCCAGATTTAAGGCTGGCGCTGAGCCAAAGACGGACGCACTCAGCGCTTGTCATAGGCTATATCACAACTGTTCAGTGTTTTTAACCACATCATTTAAATACATATAATTTATAGCAAAACAATACATTTATAGTTTGTAAAATACACAATGGTGTCTATGGAAGCAGCAATAACAACCCATTCAAATATATTTGACGACGGTTTTTATTCATATCAGAGAGACACAGTGTAAATAACTATAAAGTCAACTCTATTTTTCTCCCAGTTCACCGGCCACTCACAGTATTTCGGGAGAAACTGGTGAATTCACGCGCTGTAATAAATCCAACAGACAGAAATCTCTGAACTGCGGTCCAAACACGGCGCCCATCTCACGTTACAGATCAAGATAATGTATAGTTTTTTTAAACGACAAAAACTCACTTACACATATTTGAGAATCGGAATAGAAGATAGTTCATGACATGGTAAGCAAGTTTGTTAATATTTAGAAATAAAAGCGCTAAATCTGTCATACAGCGCTATTTTGGCTGTGGTGAATCACGTGCCAAGCATGACGCGTCACCATGGAAACAGGGGACACACGATGTTTAGCCGATGCCGTCTAAACATCGTGATGTCTGTCAGCCATCACGATGGACGATTATATCGTCCATCGGCCCAACCCTAGCGCCCAGCAACCCAAATATGCAACCTGGAAGGTTACGACGTGCCTAAATTCAGGGTCCGAGTGTCAGCTGCCTAATTGATGGAGATGTGCTTCAGTCTATCTGTATATCTGTGAAAAATTACTATGTTTATCTATTTCTTAGCCAATGATAATCATTCAACCTGAAGCAAGGATGTAGTTTGACCTTGGTGAAGGGTATAATTGCTGTGATCTTTGTAACTTTAAGTAGGGTGGCCTACAAACTCCTTGTGAGTCTGACTTCTGCTGATGAAACTGGAAACTATCTTCAGTAAAACTTTTCTTTAATTTATTAATTCTGATTCTTGTCATTTCTGGTTCTGGGTCTTTGACTGTAAATCCCCGTACAATACATATATGCATACATGCATATAATGATATTAATGGCTGATTCTGAGAAATTCTGACGTGAATATGATGCTGAGAACCCCTAAGTTTGTGCAAGGCTGCAGCATTCATCAAAGGTCCTTAAACTGGTTATCTTATCAAGACAACTTCAGCAAAGTAGTAAAGGGTGTCCAACCCAATACAAGCAGGGTATACCTAATAAAGTGGCTGGTGAAGTGTATATGCTCCTAGTTTATGGACCGCAAAAAAAGGAGGTGATGCAGAACCTAACCTTCCCTCCCCAGGCCTCAACATGTACTACCTTTTGCCTGACTGCGCAAAATTTCATGAGACATTAAGCATGTTAAAGGTCCCAAAAGCACCCAGATCTTAATAAAGATAAATTAATTAATAAATAATAATCCTTAAGAAAACAACAGGGCCATGGCACCTTCAGTGCTTGGGCCCTAATAATTTATACACAAGATGACTTGCCTTTGTACCCCTTCAGCTTGCTCCTTAGTAAATCCTTTTGTTAAATCTGCAGTGGAGTCCCGTTTCTGTGCCTCATGTTGGGTTTGGGATCCAGGGTCTGTTCCATTTGATGACTTCCTGCAGTATGCAGTGCTGTTCCCTGCCGATGTACCATTCCTCAGCAAGGCTTCCAACAACACTGCCAACAAAACACAACTAGGCTGAATAGCAGTTTTGACTGGGAAATTAAAATCCAATTTATGAATAAGCTAAATGGTGATGAATCTAAATGGATCTTAATGTCCCTTAAATTAATCTACAGGGACAAAGGAAAGTTTTTTTTTTTTTTTTTTTTTATAAATAAAACAAATGTCTTATTACATTAGACTTAGAGTTGACAGTCCTCTTTCAAGTTGGTGTTCATTAGCTATTCAGATTTGAATCACAAGAATAAATAACATTGTAAATCCAAATAGAAAACATTATTTTAAAACTTTAAATGTTATTTTAAATTGTAAATATTTCACATTATTACTGTTTTTACTGTATTTTTATGTAATGCAGCCTTGGTGAGCAGAAGAGACTTCTTTCAAAAACATTCAAAATAATCGTCACTACTTTTGACCAGTAGTGTATGTATTTTACCACTAATTGGCACTGATCCAAACACTCTCAGGCATGCTGACCATGACACGTCAAGTTGTGTTAGTGCGCTTATTAACCCTCTGGGGTCTGAGGTGTTTTCAGGGTCCTTGAGATGTTTTGGCATGCTCTGACATTTCTGCTTTTTTCAGTTGCTTATAAACATATTAATGGCACAGGTGAAATTACACTCTATATAGCACACACAGGGCTACCATAATATGTGAACAACATGTTAATACATGTTTGTATTGTTGAGAGAATATTGTTTATGCGTGGTTATTGAAAAAACTAAAAAATAAAGTTTCTAATATAAGGCCACAAATAACATACTAAATATCTGTCCACAAGACTTTTGACTAGTGGATGTTGTTGCCTAGAGTTTTTGCTTCGAATTGATCTGAAAATCATTCTGCCTAATCATTCAAATAAAACAATAGATTGTTTTAAATTGTGAAAAACATTTTTTTGTTTGCAAAGGCAATATGCGGATGGGCGGAACGGCCCAACCCCCTCATGAATAATTAGGCAGTTCTCACCTGAGCAGACTGCATACTAATGAGCCTTTCATTCAGTGGTGTCACACAAGAAAGAATGCAAGGACAATATATATATAAATAAATAAATAAATATGTATACACACACACACACACACACACACACATATATATATATATATATATATATATACTACCGTTCAAAAGTTTGGGGTCAGTGAGAATTTTATTTTTATTTTTTGGAGGAAAGAAATCAATACTTTTATTTATCAAGGAATAATTAATTTGATCGAAAGTGACAGTAAAGACATTTATAATGTTACAAAAGATTCTAACCCTAACCCTATTAATCAAAGAATCCAAAAAAAAAATAAAAAACTGTACAACTGACAGACCAACAACTGTTTCAACATTGATAATAATAATAAATGTTTCTTGAGCATCAAATCCTCATATTATACTGATTTGTGAAGGATCATTTGACACTGAAGACACTGACACTGGTGATGCTAAAAATTCAGCTTTGATCACAGGAATAAATTACACTTTACTATATATTCACACAGAAAACAGCTGATTTACACTGGAATAATATTTAATACTATAACTGATTTTTGTTGTATTTTTAATCAAATAAGCACAGCCATGGTTAGCAGAAGAGAATTCATTTAAAAGTATTTAAAATCGTACCGACCCCAAACTTTTGAACGGTAGTGTGTATATATATATACAAACAATCAAAATATAAATGAAAGCCAAAAGCACATTTTTAGTCACACCTTTTAGCCATCCACATACCATTTTTAGCCATCCACCGCGGTAAAAATAAACCAGTCGCATTTCAAAGTCGTTCGCGAAACGACCGCCAGGTGGCGCAAAGGGACATTTAGCAAAACGTAAGTGGGGCTAATGTCTGTAGCCTAAGGATGAAATACTACAAGTTATGGTAATTTCCAAATAAGCCTACAACAAACATTTATAGCCTACTCCGTAATTGTTGGTCATACAGATAAGATATAATCTTTTAAAACTGTAAAAGGCTAAAGTATAGGCCTACACTCACAGGCTAAATGAAAAAATCGCTCATGTGAGAAACAGACGTTTGGGTATTCCTCAGTGAGAAAATTCATAGCCGAGCGGTAGAACTTAGGGTTCATCATCAAGATGACACGGGTTCAAATCCCGCATAAACAAGGTCTGCTGTGTTTTTTATATTTATTTAGATTTGTCTAGCTCTAAAACTCTGTTACACAGGGTTGGGTACCGAAACTCGGTGCCAATAGGGAACCGGTTCCGACGTAAACGGTAGTAACCAGACCGAATAAGAACGAAAATTTCGGTGCCTGATTTCGGTGCCTAACTTCATTAGGCACACACCACACACACACACACACACACACACACACACACACACACAAGGTCTCTCGCTCTCTCGCTCTCTCTCTCTCCGCCGTGCGTGTGCTACACAGTTTGGAGCACAGTTTCTTCTGTCTCGCATGCGCGCTCTTTCTCACAAGGTTTGGCTGCATTTCACGTGTAAAATTACGTGTCAGAACGCCCTCTGGGTGTACCGATCTGCCGATAGTCTGAATCCCATATAGAATCAAGCCAATTCATTGGCTGATGGCGCGGGCGCCGCATCGACGCACTTACGTCGTCATACTATGTTGGCGCGCGCGCGCCATCTGCTCCTCAGATTTCTCTGCCGAAAAAGGAAGCTGGTCGGCAGCGCGAGGAGCTTGGCAGCGTCCCGTTCCCTATTGAGAGATATGTTACACCAACCAGAGATGTTCTCTTTCATAGGTTCACTCAACGCTGCGTAGCTAAGAAGCAGTGGATTTGTATTTGTAGGCTGCTGTATCACGTGCCGTTTGAACTGACGCGCTACAGCGATCTGTCGCATTTCAAAGAGCCAAAACGTTATTTATTGTGTGAATCTCGTAAAAATATTGACAGAATCTGACAGCTGTGGATTTGTTCCATATCAAAAGTAACCTTCTCTGTCTTGTCTGTCCTCTTTGTCCGCGATTTTTCTGTGTGAAAAGGGTCATTTGCGTGAGTCTCACGGTCAATGCGTGAGAGTTGGCAGCTCTGCCTGCTAGTAATCTCTATTAATCTCCAGTATTATTACATTGTTTGATACAATATTGTTTCATTTGATATTATGTAAATATGAATTTTTATTTTATATTGGTTTTATTATTACCATATGTTACTTGTATTTATATTGTTTAAAGATTTAAGTTAATATTGTGTCCAGTTTGGCCCTGTAAATTAAAGGGTATTATTTTTTGATAAAGTGTGTGCGGTTTCATTTTCTTAAGTACCGATTTAAGAACCGTTTAAGCACCGGAACCGTTTAAAAAATACCGAGTAGGTACTGGAATCGGATAAAACCCAAACGATACCCAACCCTATACACCATACAGTTTTTTTTTGCTTATATTTATAAAATACAATTATCATGCATTTCCATTTTACACTAAGGAAAAAAAATAGTATCCAACAGAACGACTTTGCATCTGTATCAGTGTTAATTTTGTCAGCACATTTTGATTTAGTTTTAGTCTTAGTCTTTTGACTAAAATGCCATTTAGTTTTAGTCATATTTTAGTCATCTGAATTGTTTTAGTTTTAGTCTAGTTTTAGTCGACGAAATACAATAACATTTTAGTCGACTAAATCTACAGTAGATTTAGTCGACTAAAATATAATGGGTTTAGTTCAATTGTAATGCGTTAATTTAGAATTTCTCTAAAATTTCCAAACCCATATACTCCCGGAGAAAACATCTATTAACCTATTAATATGAATGATTTTTAAGTTTGAACATGCAATACAGATACAGATTTAACTGCTGTTACTTAAAAAATATCTTAAAATGAAATAAAACCACTTTTCCTAAAGTACAACACAGTCTTCTTTACAATGTCTTCCTTATAACTACTTACACATCATTCTTTATTCTTTCAAGCAGACATATTTATTTGTATGAATTAAATATAATTAATCCTCCTTATTAAAGCTATTAACGAGCAGTGAATGCTTTTCTCTTTTTCTTTTGTTGCTTGATCAAAATTAAGGACACGGACCGCATTAGGTTTATTGCCACTGTCACTTTAAGACGTCGGATCATGTCCAATGACATGCGGATACAATTGCACTGATGCACATCCGACACACTCACAGTTTAAGACATAACCAGCATAGTTTACATGAATACTCTCCAAAAAGGACATTTAGACATACTGTTGTGTATTTCTCCATTCAGACACGAAAGAGAGCTCAATTCAGTAGCCTACTCGCGCGCTGTAGGTGTATTGTGCATGACTGCACGCTTCGGGTTAGGTGTGTGCGCACAGAAAACCGCACCGAATAGAGCTCTTTTTTGCATCGTCACTCTTATTCAGAGATCTATATGTCTGCCCTACTCATTCTCCCAGACATTCACATTTTTTAACGTTTTATGACCGCGGGGTAGATCACGTTACAGTAGCCTACAAATGTGCGCATCTACCACACACGCAGGACATCAGTTCTGACGGATCGCTTCCCAAATCGTCACTATCTAACATTTTCGTCTAGTTTTTATTCGTTGACGAAAATGTCAATAGATTTTCGTCATAGTCTTTGTCATTCAAAACTAGGTTTTATTTAGTTATCGTCTCGTTTTCGTCTGTGAAAAAATGTCGTTGACGAATAATTTTCGTCGTTATTTTCGTCAACGAAATTAACACTGATCTGTATAATAATAGGCTACCAATCGTAATTTCAAAAGCAGTTATGTAAAAAAATTAATTATATATAGCATATATATATATATATATATATATTTTTTTTTTTTTTTTCAGGGCTGCCAACTCTCACGCATTGAGCGTGAGAGTAGGCTACTCACGCAATTGACCCAAATCTCACGCTCTCACGCCACACCCCCGATTTCTCACGCTGAAGTGTCAACCCGGTCGGTCAAATTCCTAAAAGATATAGTTTATCTATAGATCTACCTGTTGAGCCACTCGTGATCGACTAGTTATACCGCAAATTAGTTAAAATATCCCGT